ATATCTATATTCTTTTCTTTATGAATTCTAAATCAGAATCATATTTAATTCTTGAAGTTTTCAAATAGTATATGGAAATATAATTTTTGAATTTCTATAATTTTAATTTATTAAATAAATTATATTCAAATTATATATAAAATCTAAGAAATTCAAATACCTCAATTCTAATTTGTTTCAAAATCCGATCAATAATTAATAGAGAAGAATAGAAATCCCTTAGCTATAAGATAAATATATATATATATATGAAATTATTAAGAAAGAGTCGAATTTAATAAATATTAATTTTTTTAGTTTTTTATTATTCTCATATTATTATATCGAAATTTCAAGAAGAAATTAAATATTTGTATATTTCCATACCTTTTCATAGAAATATAGAATCTAAAAATATTTTTATTTTCATAAGAAAAATAATAAGAATCAAAATTCACGACACCTCTATTATCCTCTTCTTCTATGAATATCCTACGAATCCTTTCAAGATCACGAATCCTATGCCTTCAATAAGACCGTCTTTTCATCTCAGGTCCTGCCCACGTTTCGCGATTCTCCCCCCAACCAGCACGCACCCACCACTCGGACACACTCCTCCTTCACGAACACACGTTCTCGCCCCCCTCGACACGACCCGCCTCGCCCACCGGTACCGACACACACGCACTGGCCCGCCACTCTGCGACACTCCCCACGACACACATGCCCTCGACTCCAACTTGCATTTCCACATTCCGATCTATGACTACGATGCCTGGTCGGTCCATGCGAGTACGATAAGTCCTCAAGACTTTACCAGGCTAAGAGTATCTTCAAAACGGCATGCGTGGCCTTTGCAAAGTGTCGATAATTATCTTGCCTGATGCATGTTATCTTCTAAAATCTAATTTGCGAGACTTTGTTCTCCTGTTGACGGTCTGCGTGTTCAAGCCAGCCAGCGCAGGCCCCAAAAGAGGCAGTTCCGGGATTCCTCCATCTGTACGGGTGCAATCCCACTCACTCCATGGCGGAGTTCGCTCAGACTTGAAACTCGACCCTGGCTGAACCAGGCTTGAGGGAGGCTGATGTCAGCAGCCACAAAGACATGACACCATGATGCTTCTCAGAAGCATTGTACCTGGCGACGGTACGTAGATGCTCAAATCGGCGAATCTTCGGAGGTGGGCTCAGAGGGGGTGGGCCCCAAACACACGGTGGGATGCCAACAACAAATCCGCGTTCATCGCCCGCTTGCACGCCTGTGCCGTACTTGGGGCGGCTTTGGCACAGCAGCTCGTTGGTTGAGACTCGGTAGAGCTCAAGGCCAAGGCCAGCCACATGCTGATGCCCCCAAGCATGCACCAACTCAAACTCTTCGTCCTCGCTATGATGCTGCCCGTCCGCATCGAAATACTCGACGCTCTCAATCACATGGACGCACTGGTCAGGCGGTGTGCCATCCGCACATTTCGGGACGTCATATTCGAGGTTTGCAAACTGCGAAGAGGAATTGTAAAGGTACCCGGCGGTGGCATCGCAGCAAGACGGCTGATTCGTCGGCCTCGCAACCTTCGTCTCCGGGGCATCAGGCTCGTAGTACTCAAAAGTGAACTTGGTCTCAATTTGATCCACCGGCGAATCTGGTCCGGGCAGCTCTTTAGTCAAGAAGACTCCATGCTCGCAGCATCTGTATCCACCCTCATACGTTGCCAGGCTGCAGCCGGTGTTCTCCTGATCCAGAAGCTGCTGAGAGCACTGAAAGGCGATAGGCTTTTTGCCGTCGATCGTTCCGTTCGTCACGTTGATCTTCGATCTCGAAGTGCAGGGGCACTCCCACAGTTTCTGATCTTCAGGAACGCCGTGGCTGTTGATGAAGTGCATCAGGACCATGAAGCTCTCTGGATTCTTCACATCGTACCTACGGAGCTAGCACAAACCCTCGCCGGGGCCTCGCTCGATGCCAGACTGCACTAAGAGTTTATTGCCTATCTGAGGCACGTGTAAGGGCCGGCCAATCGATTCGAGGTTCCACGATATTCTGCTCCACTGGCCCCTGCGCAAAGGGGGCAACCCGCTGCCTCAGGCCTGCAAATCTCATCCAAAAAAACTCGGTCTGCCTTGCCTCCGAAGACGGAGATGTCGCGACGTTGAGATTCCGGCAGCGCCGCTGCCAAGAGAGCTTCGAAGGACTTGCGCTTCCTTGGCTCCCGTCCCTCTCGGTGCAATCTCCGTGCAGAATCGTTGATGTTCCTTCTGATTGACACGCAGACACACACACACACACATGGAGCGCCGGTAATGGGTGTCGACTTCTGAAGGCGCTGGCTGGACTGCACTACGATCGCAACCCCAGGGTGAAGCTCTTTGTCCACTGCCGAGTTGCATCGCGCATCCACGGTGCTTGGCCGTGTGATCCGGCAACGCGTGTGGGTCAAGAGGATCCTTATCCTTCGATTTGTTGTACAACCTGCGGCACAGAACGAATCGGCAATCCAGGATATGTGCTCCACAGCCCACTCTGCTGCAACTCAGGAGCTTCATCAGGCCATCAGTAGGTCCCAGCAGCAATGCATGATGGTGATTATATGTCATGTAGAGCGGTGCTGGCACTTTTTCGCCGGTCTTGTTGTTGACCAGCACAATGTCGAGGTCAACGCTCTTCAGATGCATGGTCTTGCCAGCAAACTTCTGCCTGATGCAGCAGCAGCAGTAGCAGCTGCAGGAGCAGGTGCAGGAGCAGGTGGAGCAGTAGGAGGAGAGAGCCGGAGCAGCAGCAGCAGCAGCAGCACTAGCAGTAGCAGCGGCAGGCGCAGCTGCAGGAGGAGCAGCAGCAGGAGAGAGCAACAGCAGTAGCAGTAGCAGGAGCGAGACAGCCGCAATTGCAGTACCTAGTAACAGCTAGTACCAAATCGGGTAACAAGCACTGCCGACACTACAGCGGAACAGCACTCTGACGCAACGCTAAAGCTGATGTCGTTGCTGTTGTCGTTGTTGCTGCTGCTGTTGTTGTCTAAGCCGTGGCCAATCGGTCTGAAACGTGGGCGAACATCGACTGCATGGTCTTCGGCCATGGTGCACAATCTCGTCCGGCAGCTTCTTTGGAAAAACATATCCTAAGAGTGCCGCAGGCGTTGGAAATTTCAATAGCGGCCTGCACAATCTGCAGAATTGTCTCCCTCTCTGAAAGTGCCAAGGCGCGATTGTGTACTTCGCCCTGGCGAAGGAAGATTGGATCCGAGAACACGGTGAAGCTCTGCAGATTGCTTTGTGTGGCCCCTGATGCAACAAGCTCATAGAAGCTTTCTTTCTTACTTCCTGCCCACGTGAGTCAAGCCCCTCCCCCGTGCTCCTTGTCCTGTGTGCTACACCTGTGCTTCGGATCTGGCAGGGTGTCTTGGCAGTGTAGCAAGCGTTGAGCGAAATCCCTAGACCCCAAACCCGCATTTTAAAACGAAATTCAGCCCTAAACTCCACTGCAAACCCTGCCGACTGTCGACATCTGACTGTTTTTGCAAACATCATGTGCAGAGCGAGAATGTCGGCTGGCCTACAATCCGCAAGGACACCACCAGCAAAGCCAGCTGCATTATCGGACTTCTCGCCATGTCCAAGGAAAGGAAGACAAGTTGAAGTGCCGGTTTCGAGCTTCAATGGCTTCAAGACTGCTGAATCTGGTAAGACCGGTACGCAACATTGAGGTGCAGCAGCGACAAACACCGAAAGCGGTCCACGCGATTTTTTCCAGAGCATCTCTCCACGACTCAACCTCAGGGGCGTTGGATGTGTGCGAAGGTGTCATGGATGCTTCACAAGAATATACTTAAGGTAACTCCTAAGCTTGGATATTGGGTCGGCTTAGCAGCTTTCAGCCAGCAAGCCTTCCTTCCTCCGCGGGGGGAGTGGGAAGAACTTGCTGACTTGCTGCTTGTACCGCTCGTACTCCGGGTACTTGCTGGAGGAAAGCGCTTCCTGACTGCAAGCTGTCAGAACAGTATCCCTCCGTGGTCTTCAATTCTGCGAATGAAGTGCCGAAACCAGAGGCACACCGCAGATGTGCAAGCAGAAGCAGCAAATCAGCAGATGTGCGCAATGGCAACAACTCATTTGAGTGACTTCCAAGTTCGGGCTAAGCATCCGTTATATCCAGAGATGCCCCAGGTACCAGGAACAGCCCACTCAAGAAGAGGGGTCCCAAAATGGTCCAGTTGACCGTCTTTCCGGTAGCAGGTATGCCTGCCGGAACATCGGGCTGTTTTGCAGTGTCGTCGGGTTCACGTTGAATCGGCTGATTCTGGTGCGGAACTGCTTAGCTGCTTAATTCGCCATGATGCTGAAAAGGTAAAAGACCCACCACATCGTAACCTCAGGCTCCGAGATGGTGCTAGATGGTAACCCCACAGTTTGGTAGAATTGTGATACTGCCGAGCTGAGGAGCTTCGCAGAAGTAGTTGGGGTGCCGCGACCAGGCCCAGAGACCGCTTTGGATGAATCCTTTTCCGTAAACTCCCATCTCTTCGCCCGCTGCTCTGCGGCGGTACTTCTCCGTCTGAAACGCATACATTTGTGCGTCTGCGACGGCCTCTTTTCATAAGCACGGGCATCTCACAATTCTACAGGAAGTCTGTTCGGAGCATCCCAGTTCCTACGACGCATTCACGGGGCACTGGCAGCTCGCGCCCTGGCCTCACCGAGGCAAAGGAGCAAGTAGAAACACGTTGCCACCATGTCCAGCCAGGCCAGGGGCGCGTCCGATTGGAGCGCTGCAACTGCTGGGACAGTAAAGGCCAGGATGGCGCACCTGATCATGCAGCACATAGTGGCACAAGTGCTGTGGCATTCTGGGTATCTACAGCTAGTTCTTCAAGTTATCTTTCACTCCGTGCACACGTTATCACACGTTCAGTCCAGATGCTGCTGGAAGAGGCAGATGAAGAGGAGGTTGAAAACCTCCCACTGCCAACCTGGATACCATTGGCGCACGACTGCCCAGCGATAGTCCTTGTCAAGCACAGGACATCAGCTGCAACTGCTATCCTTGCAGGTGCATGTCTAGACAAATTTGGGAATGCGGTAGTTAGTTTTTTGGCATTCCTCACCACCACTGAAGCCGCCCTTGATCCAGAAGTTGTAAGTCAAGCGGAAGCCCCAGATACCTGAGCCAGTGCGAGCGAGAGCGAAACGGAACAGCTGCCCGGCAGCTCGAGTAGCGTGTGATTCTCAGTAGGTCAAGCTGCTAGAGAGCACGGCCATAATAAGCAGACGGCTGTTGAAGCCCTGCATACAGGAAGCAGCGAACCATTGCCAGGCATAGAGCCAGGGCATGATCGACCACAGGCGATCCTTGCCGCAACGATTCAGAAGCTAGACAAGGCCGAGACTGAATTCATTTGTGCCAGGTTTCGACGATTGAAGGGTCGGAAGTTCCAGTGCCCGGCAGCGTGCGAAGGGAGATGAACCACATGAAGAGCGCCTTAGATTGGAATCTGATGATGTTGTCAGCTTCGCTCGCTGTACTGACTGAGTCAATCAAGTTGACAGCTAGCAAGGGCAAAAGCCCCTGACAAGGCGTCGGGAAGTCAGCCGACCTACTCAAGCGGGGTGTGAAGTCTGGCTTTGCCAGCGCTTGGCCCTTGCTATGGCCTAACTTTCCACACAACAGCCAACGGGACACAAGCCTTTTTGAAGCGGAAACATCAACTGCTTCGTCGTGAAATGCAACCTTGACGACTCGTTGATCAAGACAGTAACAAAGTACACCCTCGCTCAACACAGAAACCCCACCCTCAGTCCTATGCCTATGTCCATTTACAACCCATCTGCCAAAACTCAACCCACACTCCAACACGCGTGCGCACAACGTGTTTGATCATAACAGGGTTTACCCAGAGAGAAAGAGGGAAGTGGCAGGCCAGGCCCGACAATGACGGGAGAGACCTTCTTTGCAACATCGCTAAGCTCGTGCTGCCGCCCTCTTCGCCTGCTACGTTGCTGCTGTTGAGCGAAGCCTTGCTCTTCCTACAGGGAAGGCTTGATTCCGTTGAGATTTCTGAGACAGCATGGATGACCACGAGCGGATATCAGTCAATTCTCTTGCCCACTTTCCGGAGTCCTGTGGTCACAAGTTCTGTCGTCTGGGCTGGTTGCATTCTTCGGACACAGCAGTGAAAGTGAAAGTGTATCTGTGTATCTGCATAAACAATTTCACAACCGGGTTAATGTCCAAGCACTCAAGCATTTTCAATGCGTGATGCCCAGGCGCAAATGCGTCCACGAAGACCTGGGCAGGATGCTGCGTGCAGGAGCATGCGAAAAACTGCACTCAGAAGAACCTCGAACAAAAGAGATCGTTCCTGAACCATGCAAGAAAGCCACCACGGTCCGGCCGAATGGATCTGCATCCCAGGGCCGTGCCAGGCAGCTGATTGGATCCGCAAGGCAGTCATGTGCCGATGTAAAAGCATACCTTAAGCTGAGAGAAACCTCTGCAAGACTCAGCCGCAGATTTGCCACGAACTGTTAGTCCCTGCACTCAGCTATGAAGAAGCGCTGCCAAGGGACCATACGTAGTGAACAGTTCCTAGCTGCAGCAGAGCGCCTGACACCACAAGCTACGACGACCGCATCTGTTCAAGGAACTCAAAGCCTATGCTCTGAAGACATGCCTTGCTGGCCACTGCAAAATGCTGTCCTGGCCTGCAACAGCCAATGGGAACGGTGGCCTGAATGTGCAGAGAAAAGGCAGGAGCTCAGCATGGATAAGCTCTGAATAGGATTTCTCTCAGAATGAACTGCATTACGTTTCAACACGTGCAAGATCGACTCTGCTTGTGGGCACCAAACTTGCCGTCCCAAGCACCCGTCCACGAGATGCCGCAGCTCTGTGGACCCTGTTTTCGTCGTCATCCGGAATGCGGAGTTGTAGTCAAAGATCTTCAAGCACTCCGCACATGCTCCGCTTAATGTGTCACGACTTGTGGATGTCGCACATTACTGTCTGCCTGTTTACACATACGCCTTTCAAACCTGGGCCAGCGCAGACCTGAGGAGCACGTCAGCAGCACAAAATGGTCCAGGGTAAGGGAGCGATCCTCGAGAGCCTATAGGCAAACACCCGGGAGCCTGAAGGCATTTTCGAATTCTCCGCTCTCAGGTTGTTTCTGGAAGCGAGTGACACTGCGCCGCTGCAAGTGAAGCATGTCTGGTCAACTCAAACACTTGGAGGCTTCCGGCCAAAGTCTAGCAAAGAGGTTATCAACCAAGAAACCTAAGCCCCGGAAAAGCTGGACCGCTTGCTTCAGCTGCAGCCGAGCGAGCTTGACACATGCAGCCCTCCGGGCTGTGTGTTGGCTTGCAGAGATTATCATGGCAACGTATGAGTGCTGGTAGGACTTTCCATGACAAGACTCCTTTACGCAATTGAACATGTCCACATAACTTTCTACTGATCACATGGCATCTTCTGGATCAGCCATTTCTTGATCTTGATCACTTCGCACCTGTCAGAACGGAAGGTCAGCAGTCAGCTTTCTTCTCGGGAATGTCCGTCTGCGACACTTGGGCAGCTAGGCTTTCAGCTTCTGACCTGGTTGCTAAGCTTGGTTCGGCTGGGCTCTCTGATGCCAGAACCCCATTAGGCATGGGAAGAATCGAGAGGACTTTACAGTACAACACCGCGTGCAGCTCCCCGGCCTTCTCCATTCTCCAGGCGAGCTCTTCGACAGCCATCTGCATCTGAGCCTGGCTGTAAGTGGCGCATTTAGGCTGTGATCAAACGCTTTCTTGCAGCATCATGGAGGCGCTGGGGCTGCTGCAATGCGCTCGGTCACATCGTGAAGCTCGGACCTGCGAGTTGGAAGTCTCCGAGCTTGACGGCGTCGCGCGGATGCAAGGAGCGTCCACTGAGTTCCAGACTTGACCTCAATTCCCACCAAGGTCAGTTCCGAAAGAATCCGTCCGGACCTTGCGTTGTCATCTGAAGCGAAGCTCTGGGAGATGCTCAGTGACATCGTTCATCCCGCGGCGCGCGCGTTGCTGGTTCACACACACACACACGACATAGACACGCATGGCATACATGGCATACATATCATTAAATATCCACAGAGACACACAGCGTTTGGGCGCTCTTTTTGGTGCTCTCTCCTCGACTCGCTGCTCTGCACTCCGTGGCTCAGCCCGGCCCCTGCTTGTGCTAAGGCTACAGTAAGGTCTAGAAAAGGGCACCTGCTTCTACTGCCCCCAAAGAGCCGAGGACCGGTACTTTCTACTTTGGAGCTGAGGCCTTTGCATGTGCTCTATGGCTCGCTTGAGCTCCTGCGCTGCACGGTCTCTTATGCTCCGAACAGGCCTACCGTGCTCGTGAGCGTCCTCTGCCCCAGGCTTCAGCGGCCCTTCGCTGCTGTCGTGGCTGAAGCCGGAGTGGCTCGAACTGCCAAGCGGAGCATCGCCCAAAAGCCGTCCAAGAGCGACCACTTCTCAGACTGAGCGAGGGACTGAAGATCATCATCTGTCGATTTCTTGCCTCCCCTGGCACTCCAGTCCGACACGATCCTGCTCAGTCGGGCCTCGAACCCGCATCCAGCACAGCGCGCCCAGCGCTTCCACGCTCGTTCTTGTCCTCCAGGGCCGCCTGCTTGCGCCTTCCCTCAGGCGAGTTTCGCACAGACGCCCAAGCCCAGGCCCTCAGACCTCACTTGCGCTCAGCTTTGCCTTGCTGGAGGTGTCAGAGCCCGCATCGTCGTCGGGCGTCGACAACCTCTCGTGTACTTACATCGCGGCAGGCTGCGTGAGCACGAATGGAAGTGCAGCTGGCCTTTCGGTCATCTTCCGGTATCTCACGTAGATCATCGGGAAGAAGCGGATCATGATTCTGCGTCAAGCAAGATGTCGAGACTTCTTCTGCGCGGAATCATGTAACTATGCTTGCCGTCTTCATTGATGTCTCCTTTGGTGCATCCTGCAAGGGATGTCGATCTGCAATGCGTGCAGGTATCTTCCGTTTTGTTCTTCTGCACTCGAGGAGGGGTTCCCCGTGCAAAGGCACGTCTCTGTGCATGAGGGGGAATGAATGCATTTCCCCGGTGCAAGTGCCCACCTACCTCTGGGGGATATGCTTAGGGTACAAAGTTAGAGTGGTTGATGCCTGCTGAACATTCAACTGCTCTGCTCCTCCAACTGCTTCTTTCACTCACTCACTCTCTCCAGGGCATAGGACTCTCCGCAAGCGAGCGCGGCGTGGGTGGTAGTCCACTGTCCTAACAATTACTGCGCGAATTCTCCGCAACCCTTCTTGGCCCAACCAAATTAGGGCTCCCTCGTGCTGCTGCCGCTCTCTCTTTTCTTCACCATCCTTCACCACAGCTCCGCGGATCGATCTCTCTCTCTCTCTCTCTCTTGCTGGACATGGCTTTGCGGAGTGCACCTCTGGATGAAGCCGCTGACCCTCCGATAAACCTCCTCGAGGGGCTCGTCCTGCGCGAAACAACACACGAAGTTGATGGCTGCTGCGATTCTTTGCACAAGGCTTCTTATCAACTTACAGCCTTCTCTTCGTCTCTTGAACCCCCAAACGCCGATGCTGTCACGAAACTCCAACATCATGAACAGCAAACCCTCTGAACAATCAAGCCGGCTTCCGTGGCAGGTCGTCCGACATCCTTGAACATTCAGGCTGTCCTCATTCCAGTATGCCCGTTCCGCATTCCGGGCTTCCCGCTCCTGATCACTGAGGTGGTCCGGGGGGCTTGGCTATCAAGAGCCATCAATGTCCATGAAGTTGAACACTCTCGACTTAATGGCTTTCTTGCGCAGATGAGGCGGCGAATCTCTCAAAGCCCTGAATTCCAGCTCTTCTACGTGCGGGCCCTGCGAGGAAACAGGTAAGGTGGCTACGACCATCCAATGCGATTTCCCGAAATCAAAGCCCGACATCCTTGCTGTATTTTGCGATGAACAGCCTGGGCGGGGACGTGCAGGAATGGGCGATCTAAGCAAGGGCGCTTCGCGAGCCGAGGAGGGAGCGCGTCGGCCATCATCGCGAACATCAAAGCCAGCCCGACCTTGCAATCGAGTGCACTCAACAAGCCTTTTCCCTTGCTCTTCGGGACGACAGCAGCTGCAGCGAGACTTTTTAACGGATGTCTGCAGGAAGCCAGCTTCTTTGCAGAAAAGGGCACGTGTCCTGGAGGACCAGCCTGGGAGAGTCTGCGCGGCTGGATCTTTGCGGCAGCATCTTCAAACAAGCAAACAAATTCGGCCGGAAGGGTTGTCTTAACCGCAACTTCGGGGGCGACAAGCGAGGCAAAACGACTCGGTTCGTCCAAGCGTCCATTTGAGGACAACTGCATCCTGGTTCCGGTCCCAAACGAAGCCAAATCCTCGGCCATGTCCAAACAAAACAAAATGGGGAAGTGATTGACGTGTACTTCCTGTCAAGCTGTTGAATGATTGTGACTGGTTTTCTGCAGATGGGCCGCTAGTTAGCCTAGAGTGCCCGTGGAGGGCCTCTGGAGCAGAGTTGTTTCTTGTCACGGGTCTCTTCGCAATGCCGAATCTGCTTCGTCGCAGCCAGGCAGCGATGTGTTCCTGCAGCCTGGAGCTGAACCAGCCAACCCTGTGCCCAGCTCGGATGTTGAAAGCCTCGGGGCACACATGATGCAGTGAGTGACTTCGAGTGCGCCCCATGGTCAGTCTACTGGTCACCACTGGTCTCATCGCGGTTCCGTCGAGGCAGGCTTTGAAAAGGTTCTACGACATCAACATCGCCCTGACACGACTTGCGACTAGAGTACCTCGACCTGTGTCAACGTGACTGCATGCTTCCTCACACACGTTGAAATCTGCCATGGGCCTGGCATGGCCAACGTTCCAAAGCCGCGCCAGGACCGCGCAACCGCTACCGACTGTCCGGTCCTCGGTATCGGACCACAGTCAAGCCGGGGTCAGAGGCACTCCAAGGATCTCCAAAGCACAAGCACAAGCATGAAGGAGAAATCGAGTAGAACTGTGAGCCTCTCGAAGTGCAGCTTGGGGTCTGCCGATCCAGAACTCGCGCGGGGGGTTGCACTCCCGCAGCCAGCACTGCCACAGCCTATCATGTCACGAATGCAACACTGGCCATCAAGTGCTCGATTCAGCTCACGCACTTCAGGATTCCACGAGGCACCTGTGGCGGAGAGCACACTGCCACGAAGGTGGTCGCACCAAGAGGTACGTGCACGTCCTCGACAAACACGCATCACAGAAACCGAAGGGCAGAGAGAGAGAGAGAGGAAGAATATAGCGGAAGTGCTGGCGAGCAGATGCTGTCTATTCAGTCTATTCTAGCAGAATTCGAAAGATGTCGTTTCCATTTAGAACGGGGCGCGCCACATTGCTTGACGCCGCGCATGAAGTCAATCCTGAGCTGCAAGCCGCTGTTGTGCAAAACGTAGAGATGTAGCCCCTCGAAACTCTGGCTGTGCAAGTCCATGGCAGCAGTCGAAAACAACCCGAATTCGGTAGTTCACGGCCGGGACAGAATCCCCCAAAATCTTGTAAATGCCACACACGACTGAGGAGAATGTAGCGCTACTATCAGGATCGGATGCGTCATGTCGCGGTCGCCCTCCGGACGCATCAACATGCGAAGCACGAAGGATCACGAAAGCAAGGAGACCACGCCTTTCGCCTTTCGCCACTGCAGAAGGATTGGCAAACAAATTGAGAAATACGCGGGAGCTCTACGAAAAGGATCTTCTGACAAAACCTTTGGTCTTGTGCGACGCTGCCAGGCGGCGGAACAGCGCCGCCGAAGCGCTTTTGGATGTCCCATGCAGGATTCAGGTGTTGATGATCAGAATCTCCGGCGAGACCACGATGGTGACCGGCATGCACACTAGAAGACCCGAAACATCGAAAAGACTGCCGGCAGAGGAAGCCTGGAAATGAAGCGAAGGATCAATGACACCATTTCCACCCGCCTAAGAGAAGGGGCGATAGCACAAAAGCTTCAGCAAAATATTTAATGTTCGCCTGTGATTAATAGATGGGGTGGGATTAATAAAGTAATTGTTCGGGCCGGTTCTGCCGATCGCTTTCTGGGAAGACTACAAGCCTGCAACCGGTCCCCGGAAGCCCAAACAATTAAATGGGGTTGTTATAATACAATAATTATTTCCGGCGGCTCTTTTTTGGGGCATGGCGAGCCCCTTCTGAGTTGAGTGCGAGCAATAAGCCGTTTGTGGCATCCCTACACCCCAGCAACGGAGAGATCAAATGTGACCGCTTTTTGGGCTCGCCGGGCCGCAGCGAGCCCAAAAAGCGGTCACAATTGCTCCTTCCCTTCATCCCAGCAACGGCGAGGCCAAATGCGCCGGAATGGGGGGAACACCGAGATCGGCACCGGCACCAATCAAAAACGCGCTTTTTACGAACACAATTTATCACTTCAAAATCTGGCTTTGAATTTCCAAAATTTGCCCGCTCCCTCTCCTCCCTACACCCCATCAACGGAGAGACCAAATGTGACCATTTTTTGGGCTCGACGGGTTTCGGCGAGCCCAAAAAGCGGTCACATGTGCTTCTTCCTTCCCTGCACCCGAGCAACGGCCAGGCCATGTGCCGGAATGGGGGAACCCCGAGATTTGCCCTGACCCCAATCAAAAACACACTTTTTACAAAAAGAGTTTATCACTTCAACATCTGGCCTTGAATTTCCAAAATTTGCTTCCACCCCAGCAACGGAGAGACCCTATGTGACCGTTTTTTGGGCTCGCCGGGCCTTCCCTCCCTGCACCCTAGCAACTGCCAGGCCATATGTGCCGGAATAGGGGAAACCCGAGATGGGCCCCGACCCCAATCAAAAACTCGCTTTTTACGAAAAGAATTACTATCATTCAAAATCTGGCCCTGGTTTTCCAAAATTTGCCTGCTCCCTCTCCTCCCTGCCCCAGCAACGGAGAGACCCTATGTGACCGCTTTTTGGGCTCGCCGGGCCCCGGCGAGCCCAAAAAGCGGTCACATTTGCTCCTTCCCTCCCTGCACCCTAGCAACGGCCAGCGCAAACGTGCCGGAATGGGGGCAAGAAACCCCGAGATCCACCGCGACCCCAAGCAAAACCAGGCTTATTACGAAAAGAAATCATCACTTCAAAACATGGCCTTGAATTCCAAAATTTGCCTGCTCCCTTTTTGGGCTCGCCTGGCCGCGAAGGGCCCAAAAAGTCACATTTGCTCCTCGGTATTAATACGGGTACTGCTACTAGTACTAGTACTACTGCCACCAATCCTCCCTCCCATTATTCCAACCCCTTCAATCGTTCGGCTGCGGTCCCGGTCCGCGCTTATTCCCAATCCTGGCCCGGGGGGCGGGGGGTTTATTAATCACACCCACACATTAGTTAGGATGCAACGCCCCAGGACGAACCCACCCGCACCCTGAGGCATCATCATCACCATCGTACGTAGCATCGAAATCGTCCTCGGTGTTTTGTGTAGGGTCCGCCGGTCGCTCTTGCCCACAACCCACTGCCCTTGTAAACTGCAACACATTCCAGGGTGGCGAAAGGTGCGGCGAAGAACAGGCACGATCGTCTTGTCTGCGGCGAAGGGTTCTGCCGCTGCTCTAGTGGGTGCTTCTAGTTGGTGTCAAGCCACGGCATGTCCAACTCCGCGAGCGCGGCCAGCTCTGCAGGGGGCATCTCGCCGTGTGGGCGCATGAAGAGCCGCCGTGGCATCTTCCGGGTGCAGCACAGTTGTGCAAGCAGTTTGCATGCCGGGGCCCTGTGAAATCTTGCGAGTTTCGGCCGGACTGGAGACCAGATCTTTGCCCGATTTCGGCGTGGCACGAGCCTGAACCTCTTCTCGGAGTTCGTCTGCTGTCAAGTGCATGTAGTCAAGGAGCCTGTGGACAACACGCAGAAAAGCAAAACACGGTCCTGACGACAATTGTAGTCAAGGAACAGTACTTCGGTGCGAAACTGACCTCAAGAGCGTTTGCTCTTCGTCTCAGAAGTCACTCGTTCCCAGTGCTCGTTTCGACAAGCAGCCATAGAAGCGATGACCATAATCCCCCACATAGAGGCCAGGTCTCAGTCCGGGCACAGAAGGATCCAAAGGCACAAACCTCGGTGTTGGCAAAGCCGTTTTACGTCCTCGACATTGAACGGCTGTGCAAGGCTATGCATGTCAACGTGCAACGCGTGGTGACGAGATGTGACAAGAGACTCGTCCGGGCTGCGGATGAGGGCCAAGTCGCATGGAAACCTGGGTACAATGAAAAATTGACACAGGGTGTCGGAGGTGGCGAGAGCCAACAGTCTCTCATATTAGTGAAATTACAAGAGCCGAAGGGAGTAGCATCGCGACTGGCAAGGGCATGACACGCACAGGCTGGTCTACAGGGAAGTGGCTGTCCGAGCATGTCCCGAAGCATTTCCTGTGCAAGCGTCTCTGGAGGCAAGGTTGGTGTAATGCGTACACATTTGCCTTAGGACCTCAATGCGGCAGGTACTAGCCAGTGCAACTCATCAGCGACTAAATGCTGCCCTGGCCTGCGTGCGATGGAGAAGCGACTCCTTCTGCAAGAGATGTAGTTTGGATTGTCACTTCGAATTCGAAATTGACACGCAGGCGGAGTTGATGAGGTGTGGCAAGCTACCTTTACGATACAAGCCTCTTGCCGCAAAGGGCGCGCTACTGCGCTATCTGTTGTTGAGCTACGGGTATTGTCTTCACTGAGCTATGCCCCAGTGCACAGCTCGTTTGGAGAGCCACAGCAGTCCATCTGTCGGAGGACAAAGACAGAACTCACATCTACTTCTCCAATCCGCAAATTAGCAGTTGACTTCAAGAAGCGCCGCTTGACTTTGCAGCATGTTTTGGCTTTGTTTCATGGTCGTTTCACGGAGGAAGATGCAGGGCAGGCCTGAAGAAGCTACACGAAGCCGCATCTGCAGATATTGCAACTCTGAGAGCATCTTACATCTCGCCTTGTCGGGGTTTCTGCTGGGCCTAGGGCCTAGGATCCAAGACGGCAACTCGCCTCCGACTTGTCCAGCTCGCCAACGCGCCAAGACGCGCCTGAGCTGAGCTTCACACTGGAGCGGCCTTCCAAAGCAAGAAGCAAAGCAAGCTTCCTCTTCTACCCAGCGGGGCTCTCAGCTTGTGGGACAAGAAGCTGCTGCAGATCGCTGGCCCCGCCTGAAGTCTCGCTCGAAGAGCACACTCCGCAACAGTGTCTCCGAGCCCATTGACTGTTCAACTCAAGACACAAGAAACCCAAGTCTCGCACATCATCGTCAGAGTCCCGGTCCTGTTGAGCACCCAGGCGCATGTCCGGCCAAGTTTGGACAGCAAGCATATTGATCACAGCGACCTTCGAATGCGACTTGCCCTCTGCCCACTTGGCACACATTGACTCAGGCGAAAAGCGTCCTCCTCGCTACCGTCTGGTAGACTTGGGGGATTCAGCGGCATCTCAACGGTGTGCGCTGCATAGCCTGGCAGTACGAGAACATGCTTTGCAGCGGATCAAAAATCTGTGAGGCTCCTGGTTGCCCCTTCATAAATGAATGCTCTCAAGCTTCACCGGATTGCGCCTGAGCCATCGCCGGCCACGGTCGTGGCAGGCTTTGCGGGTGCTTGCCCATGTGCCGGTGCCTGTCACACAAGCCACCAGAGCCTGTATCGGAAGAACCTTCAGATGAATACGCAATGAGGCTGCGAACCCACCCACGCACCGGAGTCAAAGCTCTCGCTTAACCTCAAGAGTGAAGAGGATGGGCTTGCATGAACCGCCTAGCCACACGAACCTGAACAAGTGCGAACCGCCGAGCCGGTCCAGAACTGCAAAGCAATCCTCTCAGCCACTTTAACTTTAAGCCTTTTAAGAATTCCTCCCCATCCCAGTCCCATCACCTCATGCTTTCTCGAGACCCTGGCCCTAGCTTTAAAGCCTTCAGGACTTCAGCATCTAACAGAATTTCTAGGGTTACGTAGGTTACCGGGTCGAGTAAGGCATGATAGACTTTACGTTTCTTACGGTACTGGTACTTGGCTTGTCGGGTTTGAGAGGTTCTGGCGGATGGTGGGGGAAGGTACGGCTTCCTGGCTGGACTGCAGACCTCGCTCGCAAGACGCAGCGCCCGACGAGGAGTAAACAGCGCGGCCTTACGTGGACCGGGTGGTGTTGATGTGCTTTGAGTGGCGTTCCCAATCTCACTCGGGCGGGCTGGTGCCGAAGAATTCTGATTCTGTGGCAAAACATGCGTTTTTTTCTATCTCTAAGAGGGACCTCGGTGAGGCGCCGAGAGAAGAAGATCCCGGATTCCTCGAGCAGAGGCTGTCACGGTCTGTTGGAATCTGGGCGCAAAATCCTGTCCTGCGTGTAGGCCAAGATGTCTTGCACTTCCACAGGTGCCAGATTAGCCGCGCCAGACAGCCAAGATGCCGTCAAAGAGCTCCTGCCGGTTTCTCCAAAGGCTAAACGTCTTATCTCGTCGAGGCTGACAGCTCCCTACTGTGTCAGCAATCTGCAGGCAAACAACAACACAGCTTAGCTTTGAGCTGCAATCGGAGGTCCTGATAATCCCAGGCCTGTCTTCCACGATTGACACCTTCGCACAGAGCACGAGGGTTTGCAAACAGCAACTGCGCATTCTGGTATGAAGAGTTGGCACAGGATGGTCATGAGAAGGCCAAATAAGCAAGTTCCGTCCTCTTCACTGGCATGACAAGAAACAAACTGCAAGAGCTGCGGCCAAGCAACTTCAAACAATGGCACCTGGCAGGAGCAACAATTGAAGTCTCAGCTTGGGCGTGAATTCCTGGAGTGGCGCCTGGCTTCTCGAGAAGCTGAGCGTAGCTTGCACTTAAACAGATGAGCCCGCCATGCCCAGCGCCGTCACATGCACCAGCAAAGCATCATGCCTATATAACCGGTCGCTATTTGCTTTGTGCTTCAGACCACCCGACCAAAGAGAGCAATCCTACGCCCAAACTGCGCAAATCAGCGCACGAACAGAACGATTCTGATTCTGGCATGAAGGCCCGACATGAAGACTGCATAGCTGCCCCTGCACCTGGACTTCCGCGAAGTCTCCGTCGTCCTTGGGCATGAAGCGCACGATGTAGCCGCACAAACTCCCCTCGACGATGCCTGGCCGCTGTGGCCATCCATCCGTCAAATCTCATATCCTTCCATTCCCACTTCCATCCCTCTCTCACTGGGACTCACAGAGAGTCACCATCGCTGAACAACCTACTTGATTGTGTCTCTCTCTCCGACAACGTGAGAACTCTCCTGCCAAACATCCGGTAAAGTTCACCTCGGCCCTTCGGTCAGAGGTTCCTACAGGGTCCCTGTTTCCCTCTGCTTAATCCTCGCCCCTTTTTCTGTGAGGATGCGATCCGGGCATTGACAATCAAGCCGGGTTGCGCAGCAGTGCTATGAGGCCCCAGGGGAAGGCGCCGGCCAAAACATAGAAGCCTGCTAACGACGGTTCATACGCGAGGCTCCATATGAGCGGCAGGTTGCAACCCCCGGCCTTCCAATGGCATCCATTGCTCCAAAGCTCGGTACAAGCCTGACTGTCGAGGGTAACAACAGGAATGACATGAGCTGGCTCTGGCATACAAGGACACACACCTTGAGGGCGCGTTTCGGAGCTCCAGGATGGCAGTAGGTGTTGTGATGTGTGTTGCTTAAATCAATCCCCGCGATTGGGCTCAGAGCCTATAGTGTACGAGTATACCCAACCAAGCATTCAACCAACCAAGCAACCAACCAACCAAAACCGTTAAAACATGATCAACACAGGATCAACACCAAGTACAACCAAATGGTCCTCGTGCTGAGAGCTTGGGCCACTCCTTCAGCCTGTCGTCAGTAGCATACCAATACCTTGGGAAGACTTGGCACAAGGAGGATTCCCCCCTGTGGCCCTCCGGCCCTGTCTGCTTGGTGGGACTGGGACTTGCGGTCGAGAAACCGCTGGCAAAGATGCCACCAGGCGCTCTCCTGCAGAAGAACAGCACGATGCGGGATGGGAAGTCTGCCCTCCACAACTGAGAAGCAAACCTCGTCCAGAGTTGCGGTGAGAGCTTTGCACACCACGCCTGGTCAATCAAAAACCATCATCTTGACGTTACGTCGAAGTGCACTGAAAGCAAGTCGCATCCACTAAGACTGCTAAAAGACGGCCGGAAGCCAGGGTGCCAAAGGTCTTCAGCCGACGTGAGTCGTGCGTGATGTAGGAGAGGATTTCCACCAGAACATGGGGTGCAACAGTTGTCAAAGACCTCACGAGGCATGTGGTGCATGGAGCAATGCATGTACAGCAACGCTGTGACAGTGCGTTTGAAGTATGCCCACAGGGCCAGTCGTGTACACCAGGCTGGCAATCAGAGGCACTCCCTATACAGGACCTAATCTGCGGTGAAGCTGCGCAGCCATAGATGTGGCGTCGTCATCAGCAAATTGCGGCGGGGCTCATACGAAGCCGTCTCTCTGTATTAATCTACACATCCTGCACGTGAAGAGTACTGGAAGACGGTAGCAAGCAGTTTCCTGTATAGAGATGGTGCCTATGCCTGTGGCCGAAGAACTTCGAATCGACGAAAGACAACAAGCTCGAGCCACAGCCATCAGGCAACGAACGAGGCAGAACAGCTTGCTCTTGCAGGCACACAAGAGTCAAAACGAGGCACCGACGGCGATCATGTTGAGGTAGAAAAGCAAGATCAAGCCGGCGCCAAACAAAGGCGTGATGGCATACCTAGCGAGGTTCTGGAACCGTTTTCACATCTGTCCTTTCCCCATCTCAGTTGTGGTTAGTTAAAGGCTTACAAGGTGTCCCCATTTCTGCAAAATTGCGATGAGGAGAGGCTCTGTCAATGAACTGAGCTTTTGTTCAACAGTTGTGCGCTGTGATTGCGTTTTGTCGCAGACTATCCTCTGTTGTGTGGGAACATCTCCAACGCATGAGTTGCCTGACGACTACGCAAGACATGTGTTCCATTCAAGCCACACAGGCATGAGCTGCACGTCCTTCAGGAAAGCCCTGCACCTTAACTGCTGCAAGAATGGCCAGTTCGGTCCTACAGACTTCGGAACAGCTACAGGGTCCTAGGGCCTTCCTCCTCAGCCTCCAGCAGGTACACTGCCGAGGTCGTGAAGTTGGCCAGTTCGGCAACCTTGTCCCCAAAGCCTTGCACGTGCGACACAGCGCTGTGGCCGCTGAGAGGCGATGCGCTTCGGATCTCTTTCGCCTACGTTGAAGGCCATGACGAAGCCGACCAATGCGACCCCAAACATGATCAGGAACGGCAGAAACCTTCACGAAGCCGCCAGCTTTCGATGCAATCGACACGGTAATGAACTCCATGCCGGGGCTGGGACAAATCGAAAGCTGTCCACACCGTTCGGATCAGATTCTGCAAGACACCAGTGATTAAGGACTCCGCTACTGGCTGCTTTATGCAAGGCCCTGTGTCTGCAGCTCCTGTGTCAATCTCCGCAACTGGCTTCCAACACTTGCTACAACAACTCCTACGCTTTCGGCTTCTGCTTGTGTCGTTAAAACACCTGTGTTGGAGCTCTCAAGGGATGATGTCACATCATGCACAGCTCGGAGATCCAAGCGACCCCAACGCTCCAGTAACCATTTTGAGCATCAAACATCACCAACGCCACATCAAAGCTCTCTCCTTCACCAACGGCAGATGCCGCAAATACTTGGTCACCTTGCCCCAAAGAAGAACCTGCAGAACCGTCTTCACAGATGTCACAGCTGCTGCGAGGGTCTTTCTCAAGTCAGTATGCCAGCATGGATATTGCCATGTCGGATCGGGCCCCCTGCGCAATTGAAGGCATTGAGAACGCGAACCTCACTAGCAAACGGCCCATGTTCCACTGCCTTCCTTTCTGAGCCACCGTTCTTCGAGTTGTTAGGCCCCCCCAAAGCGCTCTAGCTGGGCAGCAGGCTGTCGTGGCCGCGCTGGCCAGGGCTGAGATGTTCTGAAAGGAATCCTTGGATTGGACAAGCCGGCCCTCAATTCAACCAAGACCCGAAAGGTCCGTCAAGCTTTCATGGCCTTTAGACCTGATTTCACAAACTCAGAGAGGACCCAAATTGTCTTCAGGCACAGTCTTCTCCTGTACAGGTGGCTATTCCAATTCTATGTACATCTATCGCCGGCGGCGCTTGTAGCAGATCCCTTCTCGGATCTCCTGGCGCCAGACCGCCAAGCGGTCGCTTGGAGCGGCTGTGGGTGATGGCATCGAGCGGATGCGCGGAGAAAGTTGGGGAGACTTGCTGGGAGGTGATGCGTCGAATTTTGAATGCAAGGTCTCCCAGGCACCAGCTGGCAGACTTCGAAAGTCTCCAGACGATGAGCGCAAAGCATGGGGCTGCTCAAGGAGCACACGCAATGCTAGCATGCCCTGGAGTGGGTGCACCATGAAGCCCAGGCCGACACCCGTGTAAGGATCGATGAAACGGAAGAGAAAGAGGAGGATCTTCTTGGAAAGTGGCAAAAGTGGAGTAGACCTCAGGTGCCTCTGGCCGGCAAGGAAAACCAGCCGTAGCAGCTGGGCCCTCTAAGCCCTGCGACGGCATGGCCTGGGCAGGATGCAGTATTGATAGTGACTTCCACGGAACAATGCAACGATGCTTCCCAAGCCCAGGGCCGCGTAGATGCCACCGGTGCCACTGAACTCGCTTTGCTCTGCACAGTTTGGCAGGTCCGGCTGTAAATTCTCACTTGCCGTATTGGCTGTCAGCTCTTCCGGAGCTGCTGGGTCGGCGGCTGGCGCAGGCGCAACGAGCCTGTTCAGCACTTCCTCCACCACCAAGTCTGCAGCCGGCAGGTCCGATTGAAAGGTCTCACTTTCCGTCGTGGCTGTGAGCTCTTCCGGAGCTGCTGTGTCGGCGAATGGCTCCTCGTCATCTTGTGGAAAAGCTGGTTGCGTGCTGGAAGGAGGTACCTCTTCTGTGCTAGCGCATTCAGACGGCACGCTCTGCATCATCGTCGACGGCGCAGGCGCAACTCCCACGAGCCTGCTCATCATTTGCTCCACGACCCAGTCTGCGGCCGCTTGGTCACCCCGCTGCTGCTGATGGAAATCCTGCTGAAGGACGGGACTGCCACTTTTCTTCAGCACCACCCAGCCTGCACAGGGCAACTGGAGGCGCACATGCTTGCGGACGACTTCCACGATCAAAACGTGGCTGCCGGCTTTCAGGTGTCCAAGACTTTCGGAGTCCCTGGCTTTGGAAGAGCGGACTTTGACATCCCGTAGGATTCTCGCCCAGCCGGCGCACAGCGCTGTCTCTGCGACCTGCCAAGAAACATATGCTGCAGTTCAAAGAGCGCTTCGCACTAGAAACATCTGCAACCTGTACCATCCTACAGCACAGATCTTTTGTCAGTCGGCCTTCTGCTTTGCAGCTTTTCCGGCCCTGGTCCTGTAGCTCCTGGCTGAAACTAAGATAAGAACATGGACAAGGCATGGGGTCGGGTTAAGCCGGCAGCCTTCCAAGACTGCACCCCCTAGCAGACTGGAGCCGCGGCTCCTCCAAGCGCAACTTCTCCTCCATTTGCCTCCGTCCGTCGATGCAAAATCCGCGGATAGTGACTGCCATTGCGGCACAAAGTGCCGGGGTCGTCCATTTCTGGATGCCTTTGTACAGGTCCCAAAGCTCAAATCCTAAACCAAAGGCTGCGACTGGATGCAGATGCTTTCCGGCTTCAGTCCGAAGCCGGCACGGCAAAGAAGTTTGGAACATGATGCATTCAGAGGTGTATCTGTGGCTCAGCCTCGGACCTGTTCGAGCCAAGAGCTACCGGGGAGCAACGCCAGGGCTCTGCTGGTGAGCACTTCTAAGTGTTACACGAAGTATGCTTCTCCAATGGCGTGGGAAAAGCTGTGGGGCATCGAGCGGAGTGCTCCAGTGATTTACGCCGCTTGTGGTTGCTTGTTGCTGCGCACACAAGTGTTACACCACGTTGCAGATGATGGCTAAATGCTTAGATTTACGCTCAAAGAGCTCACACTCTCCGAAAACCGAAATAGTGTAACTGAGTTTTGGGCAACGTTGGAGAGCTGCTCGAGCCCCACGTTGGCATTGGCTGCCTCTGCAGGCAGCAGTCAAGAGTTCCAGCAAGTCTGTTGGTACTCGAAGAACAAACAGGCTTATTTCACCAGTGTGTCTGAAGGACAGGTGTTCTGACCTTACCTTTCGAGTACATGCGTTGAATGCTTGCAACTGCTCGGAGCGTCGTGCAGGTTCGGAACGCGTAGCACAGGATCCCTATTCATCAAACCCGCCGCCGGCAACGCCCCGAGAATACGATTCTCTACCGAAGCCATCTGGACTGCGCAGGCCAATGTGTGAAGTGGGAAGGACGGCTGTCAAGCGACGAAGAAAATCATGAACATGCCGGCCCAACGTCGGAGAAGAGCAGCATGCGCAAGGTGAATCCGATGAGCAGCAGGACCATGTTCGCCTGGCTTTGAAGAACAAAGGAATTGTGAGCATCATGATGCCCAATTTGTGTGGGGGAGAAAGGCTTCTTTAAAACAGCTTCGTCTGCATTGGCTCGGCTTGCAGGAGACGGAGGAGTTCATGCTCCAAGCTTTGCCGTCGAGATTATGATCACTGCTGGGCCATGGACGGCTATGGCCCTGCAATGCAGACATTGTGCACACAAGCTCGGAGGCACACCCAGTCGAGGAGATTCCATGCATCCTCGGCAACTCGCTCTGACACTATGCTGCCCAATGTAACTGACCCACGCATGGATGACTGACTTGACAGTCTTGCCCTCAGCCGGCTCTCATTTCCAAACTGCTCCTGAGCCTGGGATGCTGACAAAGAAGTAGGTACGCCAGCTGCTGTACAGCTCCTGAACTTCCTGCCGGATCGCGAGCCAGTTTTTTGTCCGCTTAGGCCCAGTGTGCACTGATTGCCAGAGCCGCGCCTCGAAGATAAACTGCACCACGAATATCATGACAAGAATCAGAAGCACAAAAGCCAACCTCAATGCGCGCATGCGATTCTGAAGCTTTAGTCAGCAGGAATGAGTGACATGGACATTGCCAACCTGCTCCCGAAACCCGACAACTCAGATGCTTTGAAAAGAGCACCAACTCCTCCTGGAGCTTCCGTTCCGTTGAAGGCAGTCGAGGCGCCAGTCCAGCGCTGTGCCGAGGCCGCCCACGGTCTGCAAGCAGAGAATGGGCCCCGTGAGATTGTCAAGAAACGGTGCCCGAAGTAGGGATCGAGTTTAGAGGCTCCGGCCGGGTTACTTCATTCTGCGGGGGGG